AGTTATAAAAGATATAATAGCAGTAATACACTTGTATTAATACACTTGCAATGGGGTCCAATGATATACAGCAAGTCCTGCAAGGACTGCCATAAATCAAAGGGTCCCGAGCTTATCTCCAACCCTATCCTTTATACTTTTCTTCTAACCACATACACACTTCACAACTTCATTAACTGTTACTTTCCTTAAACACCTGTGTACATTACTTTCAGTTACTTTCCTCATTTCCAACAGTTTCATTCTTTCTGTTTTAAACTTATCCATCCAAGTGCATACTTTACAAAAAATATGTTTTCACAGTTAGCAACAGCTCAGCAGGATTACAAATAGTTCTGGTATATTTTGAAACCATCCTAGCTGAAAACTTTGGTTCATCTCTCTTTCTTCTGGGGCCTGCTATCATCCAGAGGACTTATTGAATCTAATAGATCAATAAGCTATATCCTTGATTCTCACAGTACTATTTCACATTATATTTAATCATCTAAAACAGGTGTGTCAAACTGGTGACCTGTAGGCCGGTTGTGTCATGAGCAGGCCATGCCCACCCCAGCTTTGTGAATGGAAAAAACATTGTGAAACATCACGTGACAGCAATGTGACGCGGCACGTTTGACACCCCTGATCTAAAACATCATAAAACATCTTAGATATAAAGGTACTTTTTGTACCTTTACATATTATCACATTTTACTTAAATTGTAGATACTATACATTTTTGGTCTATGGAGATTTTCAGTCATCCAGGTCATGGTTGCCCCAAAGGTGCTTTTTCAAAAAGCAGCCGGACTTTCTTTGTTTTTCCTTTCTTCTGTTCCAAAGAAGCTTCTTGGATGAGAAGCGATACATCTTCAAGGAAAAACAAAGAAAGTCTGATTGCCTTTTGAAAAAGCACCTTTGGGACAACCATGACCTGGATGACTGAGAATTCCATGGAAGTATAGTATCTAAAATTTAAGTAAAATGTGGTAATATGTAAAGTTACAGAAAGGATAATATCTGAGGTTACATAGAATATGTCTGTCTAGTAGGAACCTGGCCCATAAAGGACCAACAGATCTTCCATGCTGCTATACAAAACCTAACCACATGTGCCAGAGATGATATTCAGCAGGTTCTGACCAGTTCTGGAGAATTGGTAGTGGAAATTGTGAGTAGTTTGGAGAACCGGCAAATATCACCTCTGACTGGAGATTTTACAGTATCCTTCCCCTGCCACGCCCACCAAGTCACGCCCACAGAACCGGTAGTGAAAAAAATTGAATCCCACCACTGACGTGCTATCATAAAAGGCAGTTCATGGGTGTCAAACTCGCCACATCAGGTTGCCTTCATGTGACGTCTTATAACGTTTTTTTCCCTTCGCGGACCTGGGGTGGGCATGGCCTGCACGTGACACATCCGGCCCATGGGCCCCCAGTTTAACACCCCTAAGGTATGAGCAACATCTCAGCATGAGCAGCCAGGATAACTGCTAATCAGAGGGAGGGTAAATTTGGTTCAAGTGTCTCTGTAAAAGGAGCAATGAAGAACATCTTCTGTGGTTTCCACCTCTCCAGAATCACACAGGCAGAGCCTTTTCAGCCGATCATACTTGTTTTTTTTTTTTTAAAAAAAAGTTTTCCATCCACCACTTCAGAGGGGAGCAGTGCCTTTCAGTTACTGAGTGTTGCCCTTTGGGCAATCAGAAAGACCCTGCTGTCATGAAAGCATTTGCCCATGTGCTGCCTAGCCAGACATTATGCATGCTCCATACATGGGTTTACTGCTTCAACCAACTTTTAAACCCAATATTACCTGTCTCTTAAACAAGCATTAGAACTGCCATTGTGAAAATGAAGGGATGCCTTGATTGATTGAAATCAGGAATGAGAGCCAGGTTCTGCTAGTTGTTTGTTGCTGATTCTATACAAATAAGCATATTCCAAATTTTCTGATGCTATCTATTACCAACAAAGGGGTTGCACAGTGTTACTTTCTAGTGATTTTTTTTTACTGTATAAGAGCACCATTTTCCATATACCTGTGACATTTTACAAATTCCACTGGCTACTTATGGGTGCTACCAGTACTGACATACCATTGCAATAGGTAACAATTCACAGGTGTAGCGAAGTGCACCCAGCTGCTTCTGCCATTCCTTTACAGCACATATTGATCATTTATCTTCAATTCTCTCTGCATCCAATTAATGCACTGCATACATAGAGGCAAAGTACAAGATGAAGCAAAGAAGGAATTCCCTTCTACTTCAATACATATCTCTTTGCTGTGTGTGTAACCTGCATCTGATCTGTTTTCTGGATGTGGGTTTCCAAAAAAGTACCACATGTGTATAAAATAACTACCCCAGTACAGGCATTCCTCAACTTACAACTGTTCATTTAGTGACCGAAGTTACAGCAGCACTGAACATTTATGACCATTTTTCACACTTACAACCATTGCAGCATCCCTATGGTCGCGTGATTGCAAAATTCAGACACTTTGCAACTGACTCCTATTTATTTATGAGTCAGTTGCATATATTTATGACAGTTGTAGTGTCCAGGGATCATATAATCACCTTTTGCGACCTTCTAACAAACAAAGTCAATGGAGAAATCTCGATTCACTGAACAACAGTGTTACTAATTTAACAACTGCAGTGATTCACTTAACAACTGTGCCAAGGAAGGTCGTAAAATGGGCCCAAACTCACTTAACAGTCTTGCTTAGCAACTGAAATTTTAGGCTCAGCTGTGGTCTTAAGTAGAGGACTACCTGTACTTTTTAGAAGAGTGTTAAAAGAGTCTGTTCAAAATTAGCCCAAGTAACAGTTCAACTGTACAGATGTCTATGCTCACAATCTGTCATTCAGACAACTTGAAAAGTGACTAAAAGCTTTGTCTTAAGTGCTTTTCCATAGTTGTCCAAATCCCATCACATTACCTATTAAGCACAGCAATTGTGGTGATGTTTCTGACTGACTGACGGGTTCCACTGGCTGGGAAAAGAAATGTAGCTGAAGGCTCTGTCAATTGGCACCCATAAATTGCTCCTTAAAACTTTGAAGTTATATCCAGTCCCCAGCCTCATTGCTGTGGCCAAATAGTGTTTAACCATCAGGGCAGTGCAAAGTGTGCCAAGTACTTCCTGCCAGCTCTCTCTAGGGGACAGAAATGCATATTAATAGGTTGAAAGATCTGATGCCAGATCATTTAAATTTGGCTGCTTGCCTCAGTAATTAATGCAGTATTTCTGCTGTCCCTAACCTATGCATTTGCAAATATTTTTTAAAAATCTGCCAAATCCTTTACATCCAGTTTGGAAAGAAAACTATAACCACAACTTTGTTGCTTTCTCCTGTGAAGTTGATTTGATGTCCACACTGACTGATGAGTTCCATCTAGTCATCTGGTCCTAACTTTCTTGGTCTGTCTCTTTCCTATGGCTTCTCCTGACTTTGGTTAATTTTCTGACTGGTTCTCACCCTTCTAGGTTGATATTTTAATATATTCATTGCATTTTTGGATTTTGCTTTTAATATTTATGTTTACACTTCCATAAGTCTCTATTGGAGTAACCAACTGGAATTTTGAGGAGCTTGTTATTTTTATTTTTTTACTCTTATTTTTTAAAAATCAGCATTAGGTTAAAGAAAGGTAATGAATAATTATTACAGAACTCCATATTCCAGAAAACAGTACAAATTGAGTAAGAACTGCAACTTAGAAACTGATTGGATTATTGTTGTGATTGTTGATATGTGAATAGCATATTTGACTCAATTTCTTTAATTTCTGTAATTTCATGCTATATATAACCAAGTCCATCTTATTTAAGTGACAGGGAGGTAGAATTATATATTTCATTTGGTGGAGGGGAGGTTTTCACATGATGGAGACAAATAAAGAGATGATGATGATGATGCAAAGCAGTATAATGACATCTTCACTCAAGTATGGAAATATCCTGAATTTGTATCAATAAAATAACAAACAACAAGAAATGTTTCCACATCAAAGCTGCTTTCTTCTTTTTTAAAAAAAGAAAGGGGGGGTTCTAGGAAATCTTTACCTTACAGTATAGCTCATATCACTTAATTTGAATGCAAAAGAAAGTCCCACCATATTTATAGGACTCACTGAATTGGGATGATTGCCAATTTATCTATTTTGGGTTAAAAAAATATCCAGCAAAAACGTGCTTGAAGAAAGCATGCATCCAGCATCCTCAGCCATACATTGTTCTGCTGGTACCCAATAGCCCAGGGGTCGCCAACCTTTTGGACCTCAGGGACCACCAAACTCATAGTTTTAAGTCCTGCTGACCAGAGACTCTGGGAAAATCCCCCAAAAAGTCTGCAGAAAAATCCCCCACCCCTTTTTCCTACCAATCAATCGTTCTTTATTTGGGATCACAGGATACTGTCTCCAGTTCCATTCTTGGGGGGGGGGGTTTGAGAGAGGGACTTTTGGCTTCATGAAAGGAAAGTAGCAGAAGCAGCAGAAGTCTGCCCGAAATGAGTCTTTGTGAACCTTGTCACACCGGCGCAGCCTCTTGGAGCAGGATGCCTTGCAGGGTCCCAAAGAGTCATTTCTGGCAGAGTTTGGGGGAGAGAAAGAAAGACTTTTGCTGCTTTCCTTGCATGCAGCCAAAAGCAGAAGAAGAAAGAAGTGGCAAGAAGCAGCCCGGTGGTCAGGCCAGGCACGTGGGGCAAGTTCCCCCCCTCCCCTCACTACCTCGTGTTGTTCGCAATGCAAGCAACGCAAGCCTTGTGTTCCCACGGGCCATGCGGGCGGCACATCCATGTGTTCCTGAGCAGCCTGGATTAATTGCTTTGGGGGGTGTTTTGGGGGTGACATTTCTCTGCAGACCACCAAAAAATTTTCACAGACCACCAGTGGTCCCCGGCTCACTGGTTGGCGACCACTGCAATATACCATGTTTGAGGAACATGGGAGATGAAGGTACACAAGAAAGAAGAGGGGGAATAAATATTTGTAATTGTGGCTTTTGTGAGGAAGAAGCCTTAGAGTGTTTGCAGCTATGAGAAATGGAGTGCCTTGTTCAGCTCTGTGGGAGGATCTGTGTTAGGCAGGCATAGCAATACGGCTGGTCTCTCTGTCCAGTGAAAGTGAATAGAGCCAATGTTATGAAAGTGTCACATAATACTTATCATTGTTTGATTTACTATTTAGATATGGACATGCATTGGTAATGGCTGGAAATATAGCATTTATATTTGGGGGCTGCTCCTTTTATAATACTTCTGTAAGTACCAGTTTTCTTTGTTATCTCTTGTTAATTTGATCACTATTTGACATCAGTTCTCAAGCTGTGATAAATTGCATGCCTCATCCACTTTTTACTGTTGGATAAAATCTTCTCTCTCCTGTCACTGAGCTTAAGAATCACAACATTCTGGTTATTATCTATTAATATCTCATAGATATGATGCTGCTTCTGTCTAGACAATTGTTTGGCTATTATTTCTAATGCAACTCCCTCAAGAGAGTTAAACTACACTTTAATTTTAAAATCTTTCCTTGTCTAGATGACAGTATTGATGGCCTTTGAATAAAACAAGCTCAGTCTCTTTCTCTTTTTTTTTTTCAGGATGATCAACCAACATATTTCAATGACTTCTACATGTTGACAAGTGAGATACTATTCATCTTTTCTAGCAGGCAGCATGTTCAGGAGTTTATTTCTCTCTTTGGAGTTACACATCTTTCACTGTAATAGAGCAGTTATTTGTAATACAGAAAAAGGGTTATCATTATGAAATAGTGGAATTTTAATTCTAAACAATAGAAGACGGAATAGTTTGCAAGTAATGCCAGTATTTCTCCTATACACATTCCTAATATAAAAATTGTCCAAAAATACATCATGTGTCTTTAGACTATGTCTTCTGCAGGTTTTTGGGTGGGAGGGGACTTGATTTAGTACAATCAAGAACTTGGTTCTTGACTCATATTAGTTCAATAACTTGTTCCTTGACTCACATTGTTTTAACCAAGATTTTTTGAATAAACGTCCAAAGCATGGATTAATATACATCATGCTCAACCATAAACTATGGTTTGTAAATATAATGTCTAGTTTCATGCAGCATGTTAGGAGTCAATTGATACACAAATTAAATGAATAAATGCCAAGCTTAGACTAATTAAAACACATTATGCTTTAAAGCAATTGAATTCATACATTGTGCCATTTGTGTCATAGCAATGCGTTGCAGTTTTTGTCATTTTAATGAAAGGTGGAGCCTGCAGATGCCTCTGTATTCTTTCTGAAGCATCCATCAGTTTCTTTGGAAATCAGATAACTTTCTTCTATAAATAAGAATAGTCAGCCTTTTCATATACTGCAATATAAAAATGTGGATTTTTACAAATGAAACATTTACTCTTGCTTTCCTTAGAGGGAAATAACTGTGTGAACTTGCATCACAATCTTTTCTTTAAATTTGGAAATCTTATTTAAATACTAGCACTTTTTGTTGGTGTATACACCTCCACCTGTATAAATATATAATCATGTATTTAATGATGATGACGGTAATCTCATATATCTCCTAATTTTTAGTTACTCTAACTGATTTGACATGGGAAAGGATACCACAGGATGGTCACATTCCCTGCCCACGACAAGGGCATTCACTTAGGTAAGTAAGCAATTCAGAAAAAGAAAAAATATCCATCATTTCTTGGTACTGAGATATAAAAATAAACTAGATTATTTCACAAGATCAAAATAAAGGAGATTAGCAATATGTGCCCTTTTTCAGATGTAAACGGAGTTTTATACATTCTGAGTTTCATACAAGTATTCTAATAGCACAGAAAATCAGAAATCTTACTTTATATTGCTTCTGATTTAGTACTTTCTATTTAGGTACTGGCCATATATGCAGAAGGAGACCATCTTAGCCACACCTGGTTTAAAACACCAAAGAGCTAGAAAAAAGTAGGTGGCAATTAAGTAGGCCACCTGTTGTTGTTACATGAAAATTTTCCAGCACATTGAGGGCACTGCATTGCAGAAGGCTATCCTGCAGCATTGGTTTCATGCAATTTGAGTTCAGCGTAAAAGGAAAGCACAAATACTTTCTACAAAAGTACTACTGAAGCTAAAATGAATTCAATTATAGGTAAACATAAATAAATTCCAAGATGTTTCATTGTATTATCCATTCATTCGTACTGCCCCAAATAGTTTATCTCAGCTAATTAGTTCTTGGTAAGGAATCCATTTGGTGCAATATAAACCAAAGAGTTTGTATTGCACCAAATAGTTTATCTCGGCTGATAAACAAGATAAACTTAACTCTCAGTTTATCTCAGTTCTTAGTAAGGAATCCATATTTATGATTGTGCATGGATATCCATCCTTCACTGTCATCCATAACAGTACAATTTTAATACAATTTCCCATATAGGGAAAGCTCTTGTGGATTTCAGCTATGGGCATTGTACTGTCTCTGTGCTCAAGCTGGGAATAACAAAACTGCATTCTAATACCCCTAGTAGCCAGATTTTGTGTCAGATTGACTTCAAATCCCATTATCTTCAGGCAGCATGAAGGCTATGAAATTCTAAAGGCCATTGGCTTGATATTGTCTACGTAGTTTCTCTCCTATTATAATCAAGGAGAGAGGCAACTTAGAACTAAGGAGAAATCTCCTGACAGAGCAATTAACCAGAAGTTGTGAATGCTCCAACACTAGAAGTTTTTAAGAAGGGATTGAACAACTATTTGTCTGAAATGTATAGGGTTTCCTGCCTGAGCAGGAGATTAGACTAGAAGACCTTCAAGGTACCTTCCAACTCTGTTATCCGATTCAATTCATTTTTTTCAGCATTCAAATATGTAAAAATAAAAGCAAAAAATGCTAGTTACTGAATGGTCAGAAAACCCATAATCAATTTTGGTCTAAGTTAATTTCAATTGAATCTTGGGTGCAGGGAGTTGAAATGGAACCTATTCAAGCTTTCTCCAGAGTAATGCCATTATGATAAATGGAGCTTGTTATTTGGTAAAGAGAACAAGGTATATTAGATTATAATAAAATCGTTACTTGTTTGCTCTAATTGATTCATCTTACAGTGAATATGTCAATATTGGCATGTAGTGAAAATGAACTATTTCTTTAGAAGCTTCATGGAGCTTTTTTCCTCTACAAAAGCCCATTATGGATAAAATGGCTAGAGTATATCTTATTTCATGTGAATGTTTGAAAACATATCTTATTTGGCTTAGGAAATATTTAACATCTAGATCCTGGAGTTGTTATTCTCCACTTATGAATTTATTAGGGAGTATATGGATTTCCAAACATCATGCATTTCTTTGCCAACTCTAGTATGGCAAAACCAAGAATGATCAAAGGTCTACAAAGCTGTATGACACGGGTGTCAAGCTCGCCATGTCATGTTGCCATCACGTGATGTTTTGCAATGTTTTTTTCCCTTCACAGAACTGGGGTGGGTGTGGCCTGCGCATGATGCATCTGGCTTATGGGCCGCCAGCTTGACACCCCTGCTGTGAGATAAGCCATATGAGGAATTTCATGTCCCACCCATCCCTCCAAATGAACTAGAAAAAAACAGTGGATATGGATTTGTATTTTTGATAGAGAAATTTAAAAATACCTAGGAAGGTATACTTAGAAATAACAATAAGCTGACCACTCCATTAAACACTGGTTGGCTTACACAATTATAAAATGTCCAATGACCTCTGGGGAATATTTCCATTATTAGATATGGCTATATAGATTTCTATAGGTAGTTCCACATGACAAACACCATAAGTTGTCCATGTTCAGATGGTCTCTGTAATGCTCATATCACTACAAGCCTTTCCTGAACAGGTGATTGTGGTGTGGCATAGATCAAATTGCCTGGAACTGATACTGCTGAACATAAACTTTTCTTTTGCTAAGGTGTTACACATTAAATGCTTCAAACCACCACAAAAGATCAGAAAGTAATTTTCATGTGTAATTCATCCCTGTTCCTTACCTCCAATTTTATTATTCTGCTTCCATTTGGCCTGTTTCTTTCAATACACAAGGATAGCTTTATACTTTAGAAAATGTGTGAGGGTGAGGTGAGATAGTATACAATTTAACATATTTACCCACTTTCTCAAGAGATAAATATTTCACTTCATCTGCAATAACAATATAGCTGTTTTCCAACTGCTTTCTTCATGTCATGTAATTCCTTATGGAATCAACCACCTTTTTTCCCTTAGTTTTTAAGAAAACATTCTCTTTGGGAACCCATTTACTGATCTAATTGTGGGGGGGGGGAATCTGTTACAGTTTATTTATGTATTGAATTGGCCACTTTTATTCATATATTCTGATTCTTCTGGAAGTCATCAAGACCATGCATGGGTGAACACACACCCAAACTATAAAAACACTATTTATAGAAATATAATCTGCACCAAAATAAAAAAACAGAATGTAGATTTGGGCCTCCTATGATCTACAAATGACCTGTAGCCCTCAGCTGGCTTCCATATAGCCCTTGTCCCCTCCCTGCTTCTCACCTGATTCCATTGCCTAGCAGATGAAGCTAGAAACAGCCTGGAAATACACCCATATTATCATAATTCTCAGTTCTTCCTAACATTCATTAGCTGGGCAGCTTTGGAGGCACATCATGGAATCTGGCCAGCACTCCTGATTGTTGAGGTCCAAAAAGCTTCTCCACTTCCAAATTAGATTATTGATATAACTGTGTGATGAAAAATATTACAGGTTAGCAATACTTTTTTAGGAACCAAGGGTATATTTTTCTACAGAAAATTCTAACCATGGGGCGGGGAGAAGTTTTATGGATGACTTTAACATTTCAACTTTGCTTTATAGTGTAGTAAAAGGCAAGATATATTTATTTGGAGGTTGTTCAAGCCAGAATGCTGAGTATTGCCTTCCAGGAGTCTATGTTTTTGATCTTGGTGAGTAAAAACATAAATTTCCCAGGATTTATAGTTCATTTAGTTAATGGCTAGTCAGAAGAATTCTTGCTCATGTTTTGTAAAAAAAAAACACAACCATTTCTTATCCTAATACATTATTACTTAGAATCAGCAATGACAATTCAACAGGGTGGCTTCTGATGATCCCATCCATTTTATAAAACTAGTCTTTGCTACATGTCTATAGCATCCCTATAGGTAATGATTCTTTGTCGAATGGCCTGAACCTTTTAAAATTAAAACAGAAGTTTTAAACCAAAATCTGATTTCATATTGAGACCTGTTTCAAAACTTACAGTATCCCTCTTATTCTTTCTATTCATGGGAAATTGGAGCTCATTCTGCACAGATACATTACAGAGTGATTGAGCAAATGAAAGACGAATGCTCTTTGATTAGATCTATGACACAAAGCTTTGGAGCTTACTTTCTCATGTCACCTAGAGAGCTGAAAGGAATGTATCTCATTTAAAAACAACTCTCTTTTAGATATATCTTTGCTCCCTGAAGGTGATTTGACTCCAAGTTTAGATTCCCTACTGAGAACTTTTCAAATTAAAGGTTTACTCAGTTCTAAATGTAAATTCATAATCCACTGTACCTTAGATCCAACTTTAGCCTGATTTGTTCCAGAAAAGTAAATGCTTTAATCTTCTATGGGCCTCATGCAGGTCCTAATTTTGGCAATAGTTGTCAGACTTTGCAATGCAAATAAACACCTTTTGTGCCAAAAGCTACCTTTTGAGAAGCAAATATAGATTCTCTCAGAGCTCTTATACAACATTATATGTGTGGAGGTTTTGACAGAACTTTTTGAGGAGCTTCCACCATCCTAGTGATATTAAGGTATTTTGGAATTCAGCAAATGTAAACATTTCAGTCATAATGGACTATCCCTGATTAACAGCAGTTCTTGATCAGTTAGAAGAAGCAGAACAAACATAACCTGACAATTTGATAATTTGAACACAGGGCCTTCTCTAATAAAATGAAATTCAATGTAGAGAAAAGTAAAGTCTTATACTTAGGCAAGAAAAAACAAAAGTACTCATACAGATTAGGTGAAACCTGGATAAATAGCAGTAACTGTGAATGGGATCTTGGAATCCTAGTGGACAATCAATTAAATATGAGTTACCAGTGTGCAACAGAAGCCAAAAAAACTAATGCAATCCTAAATTACATTAACAGAGGGATTGAATCAAGATTACATGAGGTACTAGTACCATTCTATAAAGCCTTAGTAAGGCCACACCTAGAATACTGCATCTAGTTTTGGTCCCCAATCTATAAAAAAGATGTTGAGACTCTAGAAAGAGTACAGAGAAGAGCAACAAAGATGATTAGGGGACTGGAGGCTAAAACATATGAAGAACAGTTGCAAGAACTGAGCATGGCTAGTCCACGAGTGATATAATAGCAGTATAAGGACCATGAATGATATAATAGCAGTGTTCCAATATTTGAGAGACTCACAGAGAGGAGGGGGCCAATTTAGTTTCCAAAGCACCCAGAGGCCAGACAAGGAACAATGAAATTGATCAAGGAGAGATTCAACCTAGAAGTAAGGAGAAACTTTCTAACAGTGAGAATGATCAACTAATGGAACAGCTTGCCTTCAGAAGTTGTGGGTACTGAAGGCTTTCAAGAAGAGACTAGACAACTACTCATCAAAAATGGTATAAGGTCTCCTGCTTGAGTAAGGGGTTGGACTAGATGACCTACAAGATTCCTTCCTATCCTGTTATTCTGCATTCTGTATCTATACATTTTTATCTGTATTCCCATTCATTTGCAGCCTAGCCCATGAGTACACAGGTTCATGTCAGCTACAATTACAGAGTATTTCTCATTTAAACTGGCAATGACAAGTGGCAGTTAAAAGATGTATACAATCTGTTATTCTTCATCACTCATTATACTAGAAGTGAATCGGATGATCAATAGCAGATGGGAACAAAGTGACATTTGTCCACTCATGCTAATGTGGGTATATCTTCTTCCATCTGTTCTCTGATACCAGGTCCAGCCCAAGAACAACATAGAACAATCCAGCCAAAGTTCCCTTCTTTATTTGTTTACATCCAAGACTAAGCCCTTATTACTCTCACCCCAACATATATGTTCTGAGAGATTCTAGGGAGTGACTGTCCTAAATTTCTTCTTCTATTTCCTGTTCAGCTCTGGGTGGGGTTCCTCTTATCTCAGCCTCCTCTTTGAAATATGTTTTATTCTTCCTGGGAAACTTCACTGGAGTCAATCATACTAGCTCCCCATCCATAGACACCATTCCTCACATATGACAAGTTTCATTTGCCCTCATTCTGCTAAGGTGCAAGTCCCAGTAATGGAGCTTTAAATATTCTAACATTAAAATTATGTAATGGTGTATTGCATAACAGGCTGAAATAGCATAACACTGAAAAGACAGGGCTAATTCTTCTCCACTGTTTCCTCCCAAATAAAATATGGGAGAATCTGGAAGTCATAATCTGTTGTCTAAATTATAAAAACTAGGTAAAGACTAGACAAGACAGAACCACTTGTAAACATAGAATAAATGTATAATACATTACTGAACTTTTGCACACATGCTACTCTTTTCATATCTATAATAAAAACTACTCAGTGTCCTTGGAATGGCTGCAATTAGCTACTGAATACAGGGCTGGATTTCTGGAGAGAAGAGATTTATTGAGATGTCTGATGTAAATATTAATGCATGTAAAGAAAGAAGAGAAATTGTGCTGCTAGTGACTCAACATACTTCAAGATTGTCACTCACACACACACATACACACACACACCATTGCTTTAGTAATTATGCACTGTGCAAATATAATCACAATAGTATCTTTAAGCAAGAAGTCAGAGGCTATAGAGGCAGGATAGGCTTCCACAAGGGATCACAAAATGTCATGCTGGAGTAATTTTCTGTAGACCCAAGGAGGAGTGGATAATACTTTCATTCATCAATGGGGAGAGGCCCTCTAAAGCAAGGGTCTTCAAACTTGACAACTTTAAGACTTGTGGACTTCAACTCCCAGAATTCCTCCTCCAGTCATGTTAGCTCAGGAATTCTGGGAGTTGAAATTCCTCCTCCAGTCATGTTAGCTCAGGAATTCTGGAAGTTGAAGTTCACAAGTCTTAAATTTGCCGAGTTTGAAGACCCTTGCTCTAAAGGGAACAAGGAGATCAGGGCTTCTACTTTGAGGAGTTGCAGAACAAGATGGTATAATATATAGAGAGAGGGGGCAGACATGTAGATAATAGTCCCTGCAATGAATATCTGTGAATCATCAGAGAGTAATTATAAAATTTAATGTTGCTGAGTGTAGAACCTCAGAGTTCTTAATTGCTTTGTGATCCTCTTCATATTTTGTCTGGTAGCACTGCTTAACAGTATATCAGATTGCTCCTAATCCATAGTCTACCCCATGGGTATCAAACGCAATCATGTCACATAATGTATCATGACATATCATGACATTTTTTGCCTTTGCAGAGTGGGGTGAACGTGGCTTGTGTATGACACAGCCGGCCCACAGGCCACCAGTTTGACAGGCCTTGACTTTATACAGGTTTACATTATTGCACAGCAACTGGCATAATTTGGCAAGAAGAATATTCAACCAGTCATGATGAGGGAGGGAAGGAGGGAGGATGGATGGATGGATGGATGGATGAATGAATGGAAGGAAGGAAGGAAGGAAGGAAGGAAGGAAGGAAGGAAGGAAGGA